ACCTGAGCGTGGAGGAAGGGGGAGGAAAGGAATGGGGGAAGGTGTCACAGGGAGGGAAATGATAACTGACCTTTCTCGCTGGATCAGCATCAGCCAACTTGTCGCCGGTGGAGCAGATATCTAACGAGGGTTTCCTCACCTGGCTCTCCTCCTCCACCACCTTCTGAAAACAGAAGGAGAGAGAAAGAGAGATGGTGGTTAAATAGACGAGCAAAGACACCCCAAGGTTAAATACAGCAGAGAGCGAGAGGAAGACACAGATGTAGTGCTGCACCGAATACATTTGTTGGAATAGTCTGAACGACTCAAAATGAGCATATCCGTCAGGAGGTGTGAGAATGCGAGGAAGCACGTGGAGAGGAGAGAAATTACACCAGGCACGCAGACGCAGAGGGGGAAAGATGAGACAAACGGCACTTAAACGATAGGAAATGGAGACAAATGACACTCAAGATGTAAAGGATGGATACAAATGTGTGCAGAAGTAAGTGAACTAGCCTGAGCTGGCCATAATGCAGCTGTGAAGAAAACGAAGGCAGCGAGGAAATGGATAAACCTGGTGTCGCAGCCGAACGAGCCCGTAGTGGAAGGCCTATGACTAAAACAGAAAAAAAAAAGCCTAGCTGTGAGTCGACGCGGCCTGTTGCTACACACTTCTGAGCGTGTCAGACATCGGCATACATGCAACGCAGCTGGAATCAAAACACGCGCTGTACAGGAAAATGTACGTTTGTTTCCTGTGTCAGCGTCATACCCTCAGAGGATGTTGAGTAAGAACTGCCTGCTGCCTCTAGTTTTGTCTATCTCACCGTTTCGTTTTGGGTTGAGGTTTTTTTTTTTTATATCCAGGCCACGCTCGGCGAGAGGCCACAAGCTGATGTAGCTGATGCTTATCTGTGACAGGCAGGCCTGACACACATGCTCCGTGCATTTCACAAACATGGTCTACCTAACTGACAGGTAACAGAGACAGCAGAGGAACAACAATGCACAGCATCGCAATGCGAGCCGTTAGGGAGCCCACAGCGACCGACACACAGCGGATTGAGAAGGGAGATGCAGAGAGAAGAGAGATGGTAAGAAGAGGAAGGAGACGAAAGAATAAGGGGAAGAGAAAAGTGTGAAAGCATCAATAATTGACTTAGTACCCGTTTAAAGCCCGCTATAAAACGTTTATCCACAAAACGCAGACACACAAGCTCTCAGTGAATAATAAACAGGCAGCTTTTCATCAGCTGGACTAAAGGATTTTCCTCTGTGCTGTACCGGCTAAGAGCTTGTGTCATTACCAGCGCTAAACAGCCTCAGAACAATGCCAGCAAATAACTGTGACAGCCACATATTAGCCGCTTATCATTTATACCGGTCCAGCAGCAGCCTCATTCAGCAGCTTAAGCATGTATTATTTACAAAAAACACAATTATTCACCTGTTACATATTCCACGAAGCACACATGATCATTTTTATTTATCTATTCACCTTCTGTTTCGCTACCTAGAGAAGCCACAGCGTCTAAATGCCATCTTACTTGCACATAACAGTCGATACCAACATCTATTTTTAACAGCAATTAATTCACAGCAAGTGAATGTGACCTGTGACTTTATGCTCTGTACCTCCACCTCAAATCACAACTTCTATATTCATCAGCAAAAGAAAACAAGAAAAAAAAACTAGTAGTAGTGATTTGCATGAGAGTTTTTCTGAACTGTATGTAGGGGGGATAGTCCCTTATTTACAAGGCCATGCATGAATGAGCATGTTCATGCAAATGTTAAAAGGCTGGAGCCGTATGTGTGAGCCAGGTGTGGTTGTTAGTCTGTGTGTATACAGACGGGACCTCGATCATTTGTGAATGTTTATGGTTAGTGTGTTTTTGGTTTTTTACCCTGTTTCCCCTTCCAGCACTGCAGCACTGAGTGGAGGAGGGGGAAGGGACAGAGTGAACAGCTCAGAAAGAGAGAGGGGTGACAGGGAAGAGACAGAGAGGAGGAGGACTGACAGAAACCACGATGTAACCACTGCAGTGGTGTGGCGGTGAGCTGGGTCTGTCCAATGTAAAGAATGGTGTGTGTGTGTGTGTGTGTGTGTGTGTGGGCCAAACTGATAGTAACGTCAGGTCATACAGAGGTCTTTCATCTGCTTGATCTCTACAACGACAGATGTTTGGCTGCTAAGACGCCTGACAGCTCATTAAAGGCTAGGTCTGCACCCTCCTTTGTCTGTGTGTGCATGTGTGCGTGTCTGTATTTGCAAGGACCAATTAGACCTTGAGAGCGAGGACATTACTGGAAAACAAGGACATTTTGGCCAACGCTCATTTTGGGGCTGTTTGAGGGTCAAGACTAGGTTTTATGGTTAAGGACAGAGAACAGATTAAGGTCCAGGGTTTTCCCCTCATATCTGACACCAACTAAAGAAGTCTGGAAATTCCACCAAAGGAAAATCACCAGGAAATAAATAAATAAATAATAAAATTTAAACCCATGGCTTTGCTTCATTAGTTTTGCTTTGTTTTCTAATTTTAAACTACTTATTAAACCGTAGTCGAAAAAGTATCCCAATAAATGTTATCCTATAAAATCTCATAAGAATTACACCAAAAGGATTATAATTTGATTCAATCTTTCATTTGATCGAGTCACAAAAGTTTAGAAGGTGTGAATTCAAAAATGATTTAAGAATTTAATACAAATCGCTAGGTCTACCTGCAGTACTTTTAGTGCCCACAGAGAGGCCGCAGGCCACACTTTGGCAATCACTGATATACAGTCTGTGTGACTAATGGTGGTTACAGGCATAGTCACCCTTCAAAAGGAAACTCCCAGGGTCTGGGTTTTAGTATAAATGTGAGAAACACCCAGAAAACACAGTAAAAGAACAAGGCTGCAGGTGGGCCATTACTTCTGTATGTTCTGTACCCACACACAGACCAAACAAACATGCACGTGTGTGCTACACTAATGGCTGCCTGTCGCTCCCAGTGACTCCTGCATACCTGACAGCTGACGGCTTAACGCCCACCACCCACTCACGCACACACGCACGCACACACCCCTGCTCATTATTCCTGCTGCTCTGCACTCTCTCTTCCTTAATGAATGTGCCAGTGCAAACGTTTGCACATTTCGGCACTACTACCATTTTCCTCACCTTCCCACCCCCACCTTGCTTTATTAAAAACACACCAAACTGCTACTGGGTCCTAATCTGCAATAACGAAGTACCTCTCTTATCTGGGCTGCCTCTGCAACACACAAACACACAACTAACCCCCTTATGTCTCCAACCCTTTGTCAGGCTGAAGCTCGCCTTATGACAATGTGGATTAGCATTCCACACACTCACTCGGCTGAACTCTGCTCTGTTGATCCTAATCACCAGCAGTCTGCCTGCTGCTGCAGCTTCACGCTGGCTTGTCCCACCACTGTGTAGCTGGATGTAGCCGCAGCCATGTGAACTCACAGTGACCCATTTTTTCAGCATACGTGACATTTCTGCAGCAGACGCTTTAATGGAGTAGAAAGTGGTTTTTCTAATGTGTGTCTGTGTGTCTTTGTAAAGTGCCAGTAAATCAAACAGTAACAAGCGGCACTTTACTACGCAGGCACCCATGACTGTACATTAGCATGCACAGTCTGGCAGAGCAAATGTATTTAAGCGATAGCCCACACAGCAAAGGAGCATTTCAATGGGAGCATGGCATTCTCCTGTGAGCAGGGAAAAAAGAAAAGATGCTCTAACTGCACATTTTTGCAGCTGGTTGAGGTTTTTGTTCATTTTTGCTAGAACCAAGATGAAGTAGATTGCATAGCTCGCCACGTTGCCAACGAGCTGCTGACTGACTGGGGTGAAGGCTGTCAACCTACAAAAGTTGACAGTGAATTTCTTCATACCTGAGGACTGCACTTCATTTAAGTGAGTCTCCTTCAGCTCATCCTGACAAGACAACAAGCAGAGTCTCTTTTTCCTACTCTTGGTGTAATTTATATGAACCACATATGAACCAACGCAGACTGACACACACACACACAGCAAACAAACCCGAGGTCAAGCGCCACTCCACTCCTGTCACGTGGACCCACTAAATGACTGCTGTCTCAGTGCACATAAACACACGCGTGCAGTTACTCTTTGCTATAAATACACATCCGGTCCCCATACATGCATAATAAAACACACACCAGGCTTACCCCTCTAACAAACACATACACATAAGATGGAGCAAACTGGCACTTGCGGTCTCTGTTAGTTAACAAATCTCAGGAAAGTCACAGGTTACTTCAGCTCAAACTTGCACGATAAGCTGACAGAAAACCATTTCAGTAACTTATGTAAAAAGAAGTTACAGCTCATTTCCAGCTCCGTGAACTCTACTGGAGTAGGTCTGCAAAACTCGCAGATCAAAATAATCTCTGTTTATCTTATCACGAGCCTCTCACTGAAATAAGCTGTATTAACTCCTCCTGACTGGCTGCTCATCGCAAACAGAAGGTTTATTTGGGCTTGTGTGCTCACAGCAAAAGCCGTGTGAATGCGTGACGACAACAGAATAAAATATACCCACTGTTTGACAATATACAGAGCCAAAAGTAGAAAATCCTACCTGAAACCGAGTGTTTAGAGCAGTCTGAAGCCTGAGCTTTAGGCTCGTAGGGATTATGTGCACATACGCTGACCTCATTATTTCAAAGTCTGACCATGTCTAATATGGGTATCCAGCATTGTAACAGCATATACAGAGAAGAAAATAAGAAAAGCGTAACGTTTCACCTTTAACCTCCTAAGACCTGAACTCTTCCACGGCATGCATTTTTAATTTCTCTTTGATATTTTGTGACCTGATGAATGTAAAGACAAAGAATTACCAGATTTGTTGTTTTACCTAATTTTTGTTTCTAAGAAAAATGAGAGCCACATATGAGGATATTTATTTAAAATTTCGATAGAACAGTAGCAGTATAATGTCCTCGTAAGTGGATATCAGGCCCTTGTAGAGCAAAATTGAGTATTTTGGTCTAAATACAATAATAATAAATGTGATGTCCACATATGTGGACGCCAGGTCCTAGGAGGTTAAAGTAAACTGTCCCTTTCTGTGTTACTGAAAAGCTTTAAAAACAAAAAAGATGCATTACATCATTTTGAGTAATATTTCTCAC